TGTTTTATGTAATCAAGGTCTTGAAGCAATTGATATTGAACGTTTTGGTCGAGCTATTACAATTATACGTAAAATAACAATCAAAGGTAGCAGTCATTATGTAGTTAAAAATGAATATGGTTAGTTGTTTATATATTTATATTCGTATTTTTTGTCTACAAAAATGTGTTCTGTCTTTTTTTTAATAGGTAAAATAGTCTCGGATAAAAAAGATACAATTGATACAATAGTTACGCATTTTAATATTCAAGTTGATAATCCAATGTGTATGCTTAATCAAGATATAGCAAAAAATTTTCTTAATACAAAAAGTACAAAAGAAAAATACAATGTAAGAATTTTCAGTGTTAATTTTTTTTTTGAATTTTATGATACACTTCTCACTTTGTTAAAAGATTTTTATTTGAAAAAAAAAAATTCTTTTTTTCTTAGTTTTTCTTAAAAGCAACACAATTACAAAAAATGGTTGAAGATCTGCAAGAAAATACCGTTGAAATTCGTAATGCAAAAGCTTTACTTGCTGATCACGTGAAAGTAAAAACAATATCTTTCTAATTTATTTTTCGATTTTCTAATTAAACTAAAAATAAATAGAAAAGAAAAGAAATTCAAGTACAACAAGAAGATCTTGAAGCTCAATTAAAATTTGCTGAATCAATACGTGATGCAAAAGCAAACGCTGATAATCTTCAAGGACAACTTGAATGGGCTGAAGTAATCAAACTTGAAAATGTAAATGATCTTTTTGTTTTTTTGCTTTGTATTTATATTAATTAAAAGTTAAACTGTTTAAGACATTAGCTGAGACAGAAAAAAAACTTGCCGATGATCAATATGCTGTTCAAGAATATACGAAAAAACGTGATGCATTAATAGTTAGTTATTTGATTTTTTCTTTTTCGATTTAATCTTTTTTTTTTAATTAAAATAAATAGGAGGACATGAAAAATGAAAAAACAAAACGAGATGAATTACTTCGTAAAGCACAAGAAGTTGCAAATAATGCAATTGAAGAAAAACGTATTCATGATGACCTGGAACGACGAATGAAATTATTCAATAAAGAAAAACGAGATTTATTACATGAAGTTAATAAATCAGAGAAAGAACTTCAAATTCAAACTGAATTAAAGAAAAAACTTCAAAATAAAATCGATGAAATGCGTCGAAAGTAGAAAACTTCTATTTTCTTGGTTCATTTTCATTTTTTTGAATTTTTCTTAGAGCAACGGCTAATAATGATTACGATAAAGTTTGTAAGCGTATAGATGATTTACAAGTTTCAATTACTGAACAACGACAAATATTATCAATGAAAGAAAGTGAACAAGTCAATTTTCGACAATTATATGATGATGAACGTCAAAGTCTATTTGATGATCAATCTATTTTAAAACAACATGAAGATTCTTTACGTCGACGACGTGCTCTTATTCAACAACTTAAAGCAGCTAAACAAGATCGTGTAACTATTTATGGACGTTATACAATTTCTATTCTTAAGGAAATTGAAAAACAAGCTCATCGATTTAAACAATTACCTATTGGACCTGTGGGTAAGATCCTATTTTCGAAATTAAATCAAAACATATTAGGGAAATTTAAATGTAAAACTGAAGGAACATATTCTACTAACGGATTATAGAAAAGTAATTGGACAAAATTAACATGCATGTTTTTAGCATCTATAGAAATTTAAAAACATTGAGTTTGAGTCCAAACTTTGTATTGTTTCCAAATATAGGTTTAACACTTCTCTAGGACTTCGGGTTTAGGAGTTGACTTTTTAGAGGCGCGAAAATTAAGTTTGAAGGG